TCTGGGTAAGTCTTATAGTGGAGGGCAAGTCCATTCCATTCCTAGTCAACACTGGGGCCTGTCATTCTACTTTTCCTTCCTTCCAACCTCGTTGGCCCCATTTACTGTTGTGGACATTGGTGGTAAAATCTCTAGACCCTTACAAACTCCCCTAGTTTGTTGTCAGTTGGTTCAACACCTTTTCCCTTATTCATTTTTAGTCATCCCTACCTGTCCCATTCCTCTTTTAGAGTGAGACATCTTAACCAAGTTGTCAGCTACTCTGACCATCCCTAGTACAACACAAATGCTTATAGTCCCCCTAATGACTTCTTCCCTGCCTATTCAAGGCTCCCATTGTTTCCACTCATATCAGCCCCAGTCTGGGACACTTCTACTCCCTCCCTCCCTTCATCTCAACAACCACTTAATGTTCCCTGCAAGCCTAACCACCCCTACTCTGCCCAAAACAATACTCCATTTCTGACCCAGCTTTATGAGGACTATAGCCTATTATTTCTTGCCTGCTATACCACAGTCTTTTAGTTGCTTTCAATTCCCCTTGCAAGACCCCTGTTCTCCTAGTATAGAAGGGAGGTGGCTCTTACAGTCTGATACAGTATTGCCCTGCTATCAATCAGATTATCCTTCCCATACGTATTTACTCCACCATGCCTAACCCTTTCACTTTTCTGTCCTCTGTCCCTGTATACCCCTCATGACTCTCTCCTAGATTTAAATTATAACTTTTTCTATTCCATTAGATGCCTCCTCACAGCCTCTCTTCACCTTCACCTGCACAGAACCAGATACTCATCAGTTCCAGAAGTTAACCTGGAGTGTCTTGACGCAGAGCTTCTGGAGGTAAGCCCACACTACTTCTATCAACACTTGTGCATGATTTAGTTTCATCTTATACCACCTCCTCTCACCTCATAGTTTTTGAGACCATGCTGTGTAAGGATTAAGTTGCTGATCACAGTGCTGTCTGCATTTAGTCTCTGAAGACAATATAATGATGCAGCTGCAGGCTGCTGGCTCTCATTTCAATGCTAGGGCAATAAACTGCCAAACTGAGAGATAAGAAAGTTTCTTAATTTGAAAAATTTACTAACGGAAAGGTCTTTGCTCTAACTTCTCAAGGTTCTGCTCAGCTTCCCACCTCAGCTATTCTGTTCAGTTTCCGCCAAACCCTCCAAATGATAATAGGGTTATATTACTCGAGAACTAAGAACTCATTAATCAAGAAACTAATGGAGTTGGAATGATAGAAGTCAGATATTTGGGCTAAGCAATGAGATGTGAACATACTGAAACTTGTCATTTTTGGAAAAGCAGCAGCAAATGGAAAAATGATATATATTTGGAAATATATTGCACTGCCTGCTTTTCTGAAACTGAAACTGCATCACACTGAAAATTCTATGCTGATCCTCTGATGACCCCAGAAACTGCATCTTTGACATTTTTTTTCTGTCCTCTGTAAAAAAAAATTGGCTATGATTGCAAGAGCTCAGTTTTGTCAGGATAAAGCAGGCATTTGATAACATGGAAAACCATTTTATGAGCCTGGTAAAAATTCCTTTCTGCCATTTTTTTTTCTTTTTTCCCATAATTTTATTGAGAAACAAATAGCAATGAGAAAATTTCAAACCAAATTGGTAGGACAATTTCAGTAATTAACACACTGCATACATTCTTCCTAGTGGTTGATTGCTGTACAAGATACGGACTTGATATCCTATTTACAAACACCATTAGAACAAATCCCTCTATTCATTAAGAGAATGTAACTATATATCTATCCTAACCACTTTGAATACACAGATACAAAGTGGACATTCATCTGTATCCCCTTTTTTGGTTAAGTACCATCATTTAAATATTATAGATGTGTAAACTCAGCAAAATATTCTAAAAGAGTCCAGTAGCCCATAATACTATTGGGACTTTCTGCCATTTACTTTTAATACTCAGTTTAAGGATCGCAAAAGAAATGTTGATCAACCTTATCTTTCCTTCAGTAATATTTTGTGCCAAATTCAATTTATCACATTTACAATTGCATTGTATCTTCTGAATTTTAAGTGAAAAAGAATGTTTAAGTTCCTGTACTCAAAATACTCATAAGTATGTATTGTTTGTAGCACATCTCCTGGAGAACACAAGAAACCTCATGCAGTCCACTTCCCTGCTCAATGCACTATGTAATTTTATACTGGTTTCCATGTTCTGAATGTCTAGGTACCTCAAAATACATGTTTTAGAATTCCCAACATGACAGTTTGCAGAAGTGGAGTCTGGATATTGTTTGTCATGAGTTAAGAAAACCAAATAATAATAATAATAATAATAATAATAATAATAATATATACATCTAAAATAGAGGCCAAAGACACCCTGTTCACTGCCTTGCACTGGGAGAACTAGAAGTCACCATGTGTAAACAATGTTACATTAGATATTTCAGTTGCCAGTACCTTGATGCTGGATTTTCTAGGTTTCACAATTGTGAGAAATAGTTATTTCATAAAGTGAAGAAACTTATGGGATTTTGGAATGGTCAGCTAACATTCACTAAGACAAGCTCTATAAATATACTTTGGTAAATAGTATGGTACACCAATAGCAATGGCAGGATCCAGAAAGTGAAAATATACATGTTTCCATTCGTTGTTTTTTTTTTGTTTTTGTTTTTGTTTTTGTTTTGGTGGAACTGGGGATTGAACTCAGGCCCTTGCACTTGCCAGGCAAGTGCTTCATCCACTGAGCCATATCCCCGGCCCCTGTTCCCATTTGTTAATGCAACTTGATAATGATGCACATGTCCTGGTACATGTATATTCCTATTTCCTCTACCTCACAAAATCACATAACATTCCATTGGATAACCAAGGGAAGGCATGCATTGGATTGCTGTTAATATATTTGTTGGAGTTTATGACAATGATAAATGTTCATGTGGAACTCAAAACTAAAGAATCTTGCAGGGCTGGTGGGATGGCTCAGTGGTCTAAAGCACCTACTTGGAACAAGCTTAGCAAAGCACAGGGACCACAGTTCAGTCCCCCAGCACCACATGCCAGTCAGCCCCGCCCCCTGGTGGGCAAAGCTGGCCACACACACACACACACACACACACACACACA